CCCGTGGCCGGCGCGGGGGGCGGGGCTGGGATCGCCGCCGCGGCCGCCGCCGCCGCCGCCCAACCCCCGCCGCTCCCGGCCTCGCTGACGGCGCTGAACCTGACGCAGACCCTGTTCCTGGCCGCGCGCGCCGGCGGGCTGGACGTCGTGGCGGGACCCCTCCGCCTGCGGAGCGCGAGCGATGCACGAGGCGATACAACCGGCGATGCACAGGTCGGTGCAGCCGACGGTATGCCCGGCAGGGCAGCCGGCAGCACGCCCGCCCACCCCAACGAGACCGTGGCGTGGCTGCGCGAGCGCCAGGGCGCGTACTGGGCGCGGCGCCTGGCCGAGGCAGGCGCGCACGCGCGCCGCTCGCCGGAGCTGCGCCTGGTCCCGCTGTACCGCGCGCTGCACAAGCACGCGCGAGAGCTGGCGCACATGCGCGACCAGGGCCACCGCCGCCTGTTCCCGTTGGTGGAGCTGGCGCTGTGCATCATGCGCCTCTCCTGCGAACGCTTCTTCACGCTGCTCGCCGTCTGGGCGGGGTACCTCGCCTTCCGCGACCCGCCCGCGCCCGCGCGCCGCGCCATCGTGACCGTCGCGCGCCTGGCCGCCGCCTTCCAGCGCGCCGTGCTCCTCGCCTTCCCCGCCGTCTGCTGGGTCTACGATGCCGGCATCGTCTTCTCCACCTTTGCCTCCATCGTTTTCTGGAGCGGGTGGGTGTTTTCTTGTTTGTGCATCTTGTTTTGGGGGGAAAGAGGGGGAAGAGAATGTGCAGTGTCGCCTAGTAATGGGGGGGGGGAGTGCAATGGGTTGGCGAGGCATTGGGGTTGATGGAGGGGTCAATAGTATCACTTGATGGCCAATGCACGTCATCCCTGGCCTCCTCATCAGCTTCCCGCGAATCTTTGGTCCCGGAAAGTCAGGCTGCGAGGAACCTGTTCTCACCAGTTGTCCCCTCTGAGCCTGACGAGCCGGGAAGAGCTGCCCTCATACCTCCTCCTCGTTCATGCCATGTGACTCAGTGTCAACCCCTAACCCCCAATTCCACCTTGGCCCCCTCCGCCCCGCAGGCCCCTCCGCGGCGCGGTGGAAAAGGTGCGGTCCACCGCCGCCAGCGTGGAGCCGCACGGCTGGCGCCACGCCACCGCTGCCGAGGTGGAGCGTATGGGTGGCCAGTGTGCCGTGTGCTGGGGCACGCTGGGGCCAGAGGCCGCGGAGGTGGCGGAAGTCTCTGCGCCGGCGGCCGGCGGGGACACTGCCGGCGCCGAGGGCGCGAACTCCGAGCCCGGCTCCCCCCCCGGCGACGAGCGTGCCTCAGAGCCCGCACCCCGGCCGGCCCGCAGCTGGCTGTCGGACCGGTCCGCGGCGCTGCGCCAGGCGGCCTCCGCCGCACTTTCCGGGCGCGGGCCGCTGGACTTGCGCACCGAGGAAGAGGTGGACAGCGCGGAGAGCGCGGCGCGCTGGGCGGCGGTGGACGCCATGGCGCTGCCGTGCGGGCACGCCTACCACGCCGACTGCATCCTACAGTGGCTGCAGCAGTGCTTTAGGTGCCCAAGGAGGGGAAAAGAGGGCGGGGGAAGGGGAGCGGGAGGGAAAATGAACTGCCTGGCCATTTCCAGAGCTTGCCTAGTCTGGGGAGGGCTTGCTTCAACACTCCCAGTGATGTGGCGCGGTATGCTCGAAGCATGCCGCTCACCCCCCGCCCCTCTCCCTTTGCTCCTTACACCATCTGCAGCCAGGGTCGCGTGCCCACGTGCCCCATGTGCCAGGCGACCATCGCGCTACGGGTGCGGTATCACTGGCCCTTCCGGGCGGTACCGCGCAGCCGTCTGCATGACGAGCCTGTGCAGCCCCAGTTTGGCGTGGAGGGCGACGGCGGCCTGGACCCCGGCATCAGGGGCATTCGGATGCTCACCTACGTCCTCAGGGTGAGCTGAGATGATCGGTCTGAAGTGAGCTCCCTTTGCTGAGGTTATAGTCTGTGCAAGTTGTTGATACTGGCGCAGGGCATCGGCGACTAGAAGGCATACATGTTTGCGGTTTGGGATTCCATCTCCTCTCGTCATCAGAAGACAATCCCTCTCTAACACCGGACATCCACCGATCATCGCCGCTCCCCCGCCACATGTGCAGGACGACTTCCGGAATCGGTTCGAGGTGTTCCTGGCGCCAGACCAGGCCCAGCAGCCAGTCGGCCTGGAGGTCCCGCAGCCCAACGACGTGCGGCAACCGCTGTGGGGCTGACAGGCGGGGCGCCATTGTCCCCGGAAGCCAGCCCCACATGGGCAGTGCCCTGCGCCGCTCTTTTTGCCCTGTACAAGAGGCTGACCTGTGTGTTTTGTCAAGGACTTGTGTACAAATGTGGTGACGATGCCAGCAGCCAGGGCGGGAGTACAACGTAATAGCAACAGAGGAACAGTGGAGTTGAAAAAACTTCAAATGCTGTGGGCGAGGCCCCTCGCGCCATTCCCAGCGCCAGAGGACACCCCTTTCATGCGCCGCCAGCAGAGGCCGATGGTGTAGCGCCACAGCAGGTACACCAGCAGGTACACAACGAGAAACACCTGGGGTGTGCAGAGTGGTAAGAGCCTCAGCAGGAGGCGGCCTCGATGGCGATTGCATGTCGAAAGGGGCTGCGGTGCTGGTAGGAGACGGATCGCACATGCAGGTAACACCATGTGCAGCCCCTGCTGTTGTCAGTGGGCAGCCCACTGCACGACACAGCTCTCCTGCTCCGCTGTTTCCACCCGAAACTCACGATGAGGAGCAGCACTCCTGGGGCAATCACTGGGAGCTGAATGTACCAGGGCAGGTTGGCCACATATATCCAGAGGTTGGTGGTCCAGTGGAGAGCAACCCGCTCCCTGGCTTCCCACACGGCATACGGGACTGTGAAAGGCGCCGGACAGTCGTCCAGATATGCGTGATATACGCGCCGCATGACGGGCCGGGTCAATTCCGTATGCGCCTGGCGGTGTTGGGGAAGATTTGCAGGCACTGAGATGTGGTGAAATTCGAACGTGGGTGCGCTTGATGCAACGATCCATGGGGCATACATTGATTGTCTGGTCTGGGTCCACAGACTTCCACAGCACTCGGCAGGAAACCAAGATTGATCCAACCCACCCTGTTCAACAAGGCAGCCGCATGGTGGGGTGTGTGGCGCTGAAGCAGCCTGGCAAGGTGCCGATGCTGCCGCTTCAGGTCCGCATCGGCAGCAGGCCGGGCAAGCTGCAGCATGGTACAGATTGAAGCAACTGAGGTTCCAGCATCCTCTAGCCCCGCCAGGGAGACAGGCATGCATTTGCACGGCCCCATTGCTCGTCAGATTGCTGCGCTTGAAGGGCATCGGCAAGTAATGCGCTGCAATGTGGGCAGTCAAGCTTGGACCTGCCAGCATGGTATGATTGGCCTCCCAACACTTGCTTGTAGAATGGTGTAGTAATCATCTGGTGCGGCCAGAATGCGATCTGCCACCGCCACAGGAGTCAGTCTGGGATCCACGGCGTGGAATAATGTCTCGGTTGTCGATTCTGGAGGTGTGATTCTCCCAATGCATGGAGGATCAGCGCGACTTACCTGTCTGTCGTACGTCGCGCGCTCGGGAAGCCCGATTCGAGGTCAATAGCGTGCATGGCAGGAGGAGGGAGCCCCATGCATCATTACGGTCCCAGGAAGGGGGCTAGCTCTGCTCCCCTCATTGCCGTATGCCGAGAATCAAGTGATCCACCAGACTGCGCGACAACAGGGTACGACGCTGCTGATCGGCCGATTCACTGATAAATCCAACGAATGCCGCCCGTCTCTCGAGCAAGATGTATCACTCGTTTCAGATTGGCACACAAGGTGTAGGTGACCCTGCTCCGGTCTGGCCTGCATGCAGCGCTTTCTTCTTCTCCCGTGTGATGTGTTGACAATCTGCCATTGGAAGTGGCGGCCAATACAGAATAGCATCCTAATAGTTGGGAATGAGCAATTAAAGAAGAGAATAGGTTGTCCCATCATGAGCCTGAAACTCGACAAAACCAAGCGCTCGCCCCTTCGTAACCCAGGGCCAGGGAATCAATGCTCCAAAAGAAATGACTGTCGCCATTTTACAGGGATCACCCCTAATCTACGGATCCATGTGGAGTCGAACCCACCGGGGGCCAGGCCAGGTGCCGTCGTTGGATGACTAATGCGTTGGCACCGTAATTTGGTGGAAACTGGACGTGCACGCCCCTGCATCGACCCATCTCAGCGTTGCTGCAGCCGCGCAAGGGCTGGGTCAGGCCGTCTGAAAGATGTTTTGCAGCATGGCCCGTGGCACGGCGTCCGAGGCCTCCTCCAGGCGCCCACACTCCTCCCGTGTCAGCCTCCACCCCAGCGCCCCCAGGCTGTCCTGGAACTGGGCGAGACTGGTCGCCCCGGGGATGGGAATCGTGCCCTGGAGGATGGTGCGGGCGGTCCTGATGTGTGGGCGACGCCAGCGCACCTCTCCCATTGACATGGCAATCCCATTGCCTGGGTCATCCTTCCACAGCGTACAGACCCAACTCCCCGCCGCTCCGCCCACCTGGCAGATGCACCAGTTGAGCGCGACTTGAGGCACCGTCTTCCCGCGGGCCTGTGCGATCTGGCGCAGCTCCTGCAGCAGGTCCGCCGCGCCAGGCAGGATCTGCTTGAAGAGCAGCGCCCGAGGGCCCTGTGGCAGGGACGCAGCTGCCTCGCCATCCTCCACTCCATACTTTCCACTCAGCATGCCTGAGAAGGAGCACGTGAGCGTGGGACGGAGGGCTGGACCATTTCGCTGGCCGTCATCGCCACCCACAAACCCCTCCCCATCGCCACACAGGCACTCGTCTCCCGCTCATGCCCTCCGCTCACCGAGGGCCAGGGGGCTGTAGGCTATGAGGGCGATGCCCCGCTCCTCGGCCTCCCGCCGCACGCTCTCCTGAGCGCCCCCCCTGCTCAGCAGGGAGTACTGCACCTGGGCAGACGCCAGAGGCACCCCCCGGGCATCAAGATAGTCATGGATGCGCGCCAGCTGCTCCGCGCCGTAGTTGCTGACGCCCACTGCCTCGGCCAGACCCTTATTGATTGGGAGAGGGGGGGAATCGATCTGGGGGGCAAGGCGTGGCGTCAGGGCCGCCGTACCATGCATTGTACAGAAAGGATGACAGCATGTATGATGGTGCACCATCGCTGGAGAGCGGCACATGGGACACTCTGCCACCAGTTTTTCTCCCAAAGCGCGGTTACCCACCTCCTTGTAAATGGAGCACAGGCCGTCCCACATCAGCCGCTCCTGGATGGGCGCATACTTGGCAGTGCTCCTGGGCGATGGGGGAAGAGGGTGGTGGCAGAGAAGTTTGGGGGCAGCTGCTGCTGATGACCATGGTGATTCCTGATCGATACCTGTCGGTTGCCACCCCCAAGGCATACAGCTGCTCTTCTATTGACTGGTACCTCTGGACTCTCGTCACAAAACATGGAAGGATGCTGTGCTCACCAGTGCAGCTGGATGACGGGCACCCTTTCCAGGCCCAGCCGCTTGGAGCTGGCCCGGGCGGCGGCCACCCACTGCCCAGGCAGGAGGCGCCAGGGGTAGGCAGCCAGCTTGGTGGCGATCACAGGGCGGGTTTCCCGGCTGTCACGCATGAAGTTGCCCAGCAGGCGCTCGCTCCTCCCGTTGAGGCGCCCGGTGCCTGTGAGGCCATTGGTTTGGGGGGGGGGCGGGGAGTCAGCGAAGGAGTTCAGAACAAGACCAGCCATGCTGAGGTCCAGCCCTGTATTCCCTGACGCAATCCCCTTTGGTACCGTAGGAGTCCGCGGTGTCCATGAGGTTGATGCCTGATTGCAGGGCCAGGTCAAAGACCTGCTGCAGCTCGCTGTCCATGCCCTCGCTGTACCCCCACAACAGCTTGTTACCCTGGACACGGCAGAGGCGGCAGATCAGCTGTGTGTCGCACCTCATGCAGCTCACGAGTCCAGGCTCGGTAGGGTTGAGCATTCGTCGCCAGTGGTGCTGAACTGTGCCTCAAACCAGCCATTCCCTTCCTGCATGCAATCGTACCCAAGCCCAGGTGCCCAGCCCCATGGGCGAGACGGTGTGAGGCCCCAGGGGGACGCCATCCCGCTCGGATGCTGGTTTTCGATTCAGGGTGGGCATGGAGGGCAGCTGCTGCCACCATGCCCGCGCGAAATGGGTGCAGGCCCGGGGCCGGGGGTGCAGGTGGCATGGAGGTGCCCATCCAAAGCAGGGTGCATTTTGGACGATGTACATGGTCAGAAAAGTGACCGAAAACGAGTCTGTGGCCTGTGATCGCAAGCTCTGTCTTCATAAGAGCTCCATGCATGCCGAAGATCCGCCCATCTCCGAAACCGGCGGATCTGAATTGTCAGGCAGAAGGCTTCCGTCACATGCCTCTCATTCGGTGTAGGTGGCCATCGCGGCCAACCCGTATGTTCAGATCCCGGCAAGACATGCATTGTGCATTTTTCGATGGCTCCCTCCCGCCTCATTCCAAAGGGTTGCTTGTGCTGCAGTAGCTACAATGAGGCGGCTGGCAACAGGCTCCATCTAAAACACAGGAGGATAGTACGGTTTGAGAGGTTAGGTGGTGCGAAGTGGAGAAGGCTTGTGTGAAGATTCAAAAGAATGCGCCTCATGTGAGTCGCTTGAGGTGATCGCTGGCCTGGTGAGAGCATGAGAGAGGACACAAATAATCACCGGCTCACACTGAGCCGCAACCCTCAGTCCCTGTAGTTGTAGTCCTCGTCCTCGTCCTCCCCGTCCTCCTCCTCGTCGGCCATGAAGTCCGGGACCGACACCCGCATGGGGTCCATGGTGATCTCCGGCAGCTGGCGGTCTGGCACGGGCCAGCCCTCGTTCACCCCTCCAATGACCAGGGTCTTGATGCCCAGGTGGTCCAGGCTCAGCGCGCGTAGCGCATTGATCAGGATGTCCAGCGCCAGCTCGTCGGCGGTGCCCAGGTCCACCCTGCGCTGGCCGAGGAGTGGAGGGTGAGGTGGCGGCGGGGTGCATGGAGATCTGGGGAGAGGGTGCTATATCGAAACACGAGGGCAAGAGTCCGTTGGTTGTGCTCTCCTGTGCCTCCACAGGCATTGCTGGGCTGCTGGATGATGGATACCAAGCATGAACCATCATACAGGGTAGTTGCTGTGTGCCATGCCCCCCTGACCACCCAAATGTGCAGCCTGGAGGTCTACGCACGTGTCGAACGTTCCAAACCATCCCGCGCACAGCCCACCTCTACCTAACAGACAAACAACAATCCCCCACTCCATTCCACAGCTGACCAGAAGCGGAGCCAGTTGCCCTTGACCTCAAGGTCCGCCATGTCTGCCATGGCCGCCGGCGCGGAGCCCACCACCTCCTCGTCCTCCTCGTCCTCGCCGTAGCGCATGTGGCTCAGGTCGTACTGCGAGGCGTACAGCACGTGCATGGAGGAGGCGTTGTACGCGCCCAGCCGGCCCAGCAGGTACCAGGAGTTGACCACCTCCTGCACCATGGCTACGGCGGCCGGGGCCGGCGCCGTGTACAGCTCCAGCCAGATCCAGAGGTCGAACTGGTCCACGTTCCGGAACTTGACGGCCACGGGGCGCGACTCGCCCGCCCGCCGCCGCTCCAGGATGTCGCCCAGGGTGGAGGCGGAGGGCGGCGCGGGCACGCCTGCGCGTTGCAGCCGGCGCTGGATCTCCTCGGGGTCGTCCTCCGCGCCCTGGATCAGGCTGGCCAGCTCGTCGTCCTCCGAGGCCTGCTCCTCCACCTCCCTGCGGTGGAGGTGTCCAGTCAGTC